CAGTAACTCCAATTAAGATAACTAAGTTCTTAGTGTTTTCTCCTTTCGATGGACGGAAGTTAAAACTCCATGCCGTGCAACCCCAAGTATCCACATGGCCACATGCTTTCTTGTTTCCTCAGCACCAATCAGCACCTTGGTTGTCAGCATGCTCTCAGGTTTGACAAATGATCCACCCAATGTCTTCCTGGTCAAATGCCTTCAGCACTTTTAATTTATGATGAGATCAATGATTGCGGATTGCCAAACGAGCGGCAACAACATGGCCAGTTTCCCATGTTTAATGGTGAAACAAATCCAAAAAACAAAATTGAACAAGCTTGAACCCAAACCAAAAACTGGTCCTCATCATGTGCTCAAAGCATTCCAGTCCCATCCATTTTCTTCTTCCGATCACCACTTTTCTTTCAGGACTTCTCAGGAAATCTTAGGACACAATTCGTATCGCAGCTTTCTTTTAAAGGAACCCACAGCACATTCGCAAGTCCCACCTGTGACTGCGGGTGCCAGACCACGCACCGCCTTGGCCACCAGCATCTCGACCTGTTGCTGCTTTTGCGGGATTGTACCCGAGCATTGGACTTTGTGTTTACCCAACAGATCGAATTCAATGTCCTTCTTCAACTAAAGACTACAGCAATTTTTGGCACACTATAGCTGCAGTCTTGGATGGAAAAGTTGATTGTATTCAATGGATTTAACGTACAGTCTTGGGGCTGCTGGTTGAGTGAAACAAGTGTCAAACAAGCTGGGCAAACTAACCCAGGTTGTGGCTGCACATGCCAGATTGATCACCACGCGGGCCAAACATGGCATAGTCACTCAAAGGTTTGAAAACTGTCGATTTAAATTGACACGCACTGCGCGCACCACAATTGGTTAAATGTCTGGAACCAGAAACACGTCCGAGGCCTGGCAGAAACAACCCTGAAAACATATAAAAAACTCTTAGGGATCAGAGGCACCTGACCGATTAGAGGGGTCATGGCTCTATTCGGGAACTGAACGTCTTCTGGGAGGCTTCGCAATTCAAGACGAAAGTCCAGATTGATCCTCCATACTGGGTATTATTCTGCATTCTGTTTGGACAACCTGAAGGGAAATGTCGTTCGGAGCTGCGTGGGACCAGCAACTTGGACATTAACATAATCATTTAAATCTACGGTAATTCTTTGGATGAACCATGATGAACCAGTACCTTCTGGACCGGTAGGTCTCCTCTTTCGAAGAGTCACAGTTGACGACCTGTTGGAGGTCGTTGCTAGGATTGTCTCCATTGTATAGCTGGGTAGCCTCCACCAACCCTTTCTCTTTCTCTTCTGCGGACAAGTTGGAGTCCGCCCTCGAAGTGAAACGTGCCAGGCCTCTCCCTTCTCTGTGCGGTCCATGGCAGGCAAGAAGCGGAAGCCGTGGATGTTCCGAGCAGCGCGAAGCTGGCACGCAGCTGTTTGACTCTAGGACCGAAGGAGCCTCAAAAATACAGGAAAAGAACACAAGAAAAGACAAATACATAATTAGTTCATTAAAAGAAAACAATAAGCAAGAACATGAACAAAGTATAGTTTAACGATGTTTAACGCATAGTGTCTTTCTTTCCTTCCATTTTATGTCCGCATTCTCGAAGTATGTCGTCGTGTGCACATTGGGTCACCCATGTCGTCTCCGACTCCGACTCCGACACCCCGCACCTGAACGGAGTGCACAACATCACCGGAGGGGTCCAAATGCTTGGCTGCTGGCCTGATGTTCGCTTGAGGGTCAAACCGAACGAATCGGAATGCTTGAGGGTTAGACATTGGCCTTCCAAAGCGTCGAACGTACTTTCCTAACTTCGGAACGTACATCCCATGAAGCCAAACCGGAATGTAGATCGATCCTGCGTTTGGGGTAACAAGTGCATCGCTTCTAGTAACAAGTGCCTTACTAGTAGTAACAAGAAGCTACTAGGGGCTCCTGGCATCGCTACTAGGAACAAGAAGCTACTAGGAACAAGTTGCGGCTTTTGACCCACACCATTCCACACCAGTGGGCCTGGCCCCTTGAGACGATTTCACGATCGAGGGCACATGTCAGAGACCCAATTAGAAACTCTACACATGGAGAATTCGAAGGTTGGGAAAATGCTATTCGGATATATTCGGAATCAGTGAGAAGGTCTGGACTCGTTTCAACATCCTTGTCGAACTAAGGTTGGACGATGCTCCTGAAAAAGCGGTCACATGCTATGGAAAAGGGGTGTAAGAGAGGACGTGGGGCTTCACTCACCAACTTAGTTGAGTTTCCGAAAAATTCTAGGAACCAAATGATTAGTGAGAGCGCTGGTGAGCTATCCTGCATCCTAGCTAGGAGCTTCCTATTGCTAGTGGCTGCCTCCCTTGCTCAATTAAGTAGGCACCTACTTAATTGAGTAGGAGCGGGCTAACAAGAAAAACATACTGTATATATATGTATCTATATTTAATGCCTTTTGATGAATGGCGCCACCCCTGTTCATCCACTGTCGCGACCCATGACAACCATGGCTCAAAGGACAGGGCATGACCATGGCGCACATGTTCAAACAATCATCCCCCTCGCCATACGCAACCAACTCTTCCCTGGAAGCGCAGGGGACAGTGTGAAGTTCCCGGATCTTGTCTGAAAGAGTATCACAAGCGACAAATTGGTCGATGGGTCCGCTGTCGCCCAGTTGAACAGATCGGTCCCAGTCTGTGAGACGCACGCGGGACCCACCCGGGATGACACCCGATTGATACTTGGAACAAGAAGCTATTAGAAACAAGAAGCTACTAGTAACAAGTGCATCGCTTCTAGTAACAAGTGC